AGCACTTTGGTTCCGCCCCGGGCACCGCCGGCCGCTGCCACCCGCCTGCTCCGTCCGGGCCCCGCGGGGTTTTGCCGAGAAAACTTGGTAGTAAACATCACCCTTTGCATACAGCAAAAATATCTTATTTTTATGGCAAGCGGCCTATCACAGTACGAAATTCTGCGGGTCATACAGAAGCACCGTGGCACCCAAACCACCTAGAGCCGAGTAGCAAAGCTGCAGGTTTAGAATTACCTGCAAATTTCTTCTACCTGCCCACGAAGCGGGATGGCATTTGGGTGAATTCCTGATATCCTAAGAGATACTTTATGAAAAAGCTTTGAGCGTTAAACTGTACTTCCTTAAAGCATCAAAGAAAAAAAAAAATACAAAGACACTTTTTTTTTTTTAAAGAATTTGTTTATTTACCGAACCTGGGTCATATTTAGATTCACAAGCAATTTTTAAATGTACATCTTAGAATTCAATTTTAAGTGTTTTACACAAAAATATTGGCACACAACAGTTGCCAAAAGGTGTAACAGCCACCTTTCTGAAGAACTGCTGCAACTGTTTGCCCAAGGTTGAAAAAACTTTACCTGGAACATGAAAACCTGTAACAAATTTTAAATTAATTGTACAAAACTGTTGTGTGTTACTTGTAGAGGCTCCCCCCTGGAAAAGACCCCACCCCACTCCCAAAAATGATTACAACTAATATACATCAGTCACAACATAATCCTGGCTCAGCACCCACATCAGACGCTTCTTTAATTTTTAAACCAATCAGATACCGAGGAAAGTAACTTTATACAAAAACAAATCTACATGTGCCTGAAAAAGAAAACACACCAGTATTTAGCATTATGCTAATGATCAGATAAGGGCAGAGACTGCCACTTAACTTAAATACAAGGGCTGCATAGCATTGCAATAAACCCCCAGAATCATTAACCCTTTGGCATCAGGAATCCAGATTTCCTGAACACTAACGCATTCTGCAATGGCGCCGACAGTCTGAGCTTTGGACCTGCAAGAACCAAAGGGTTAATATTGTTTGCCAAGACACCGCACACAATTGGCTTCAATGTAAAACCTGTGAAAGATAAAAACCATACGATGAACATTTGGTAATGAGAGGAGAAAATATATTTCCGTATCAACTATTTAATTTAAAAGAACTTTGGGAATAGGTTGATGTAATTAGGATAATTACTGAAGACTTTCTTTTAAATAGCAACTAGGTATGAATAGTAGATCGGAAGTTGTCGGCTGTCTTCTATTCATTATCAGAATAAAGTTCCAATCACTTCTCCTTGGCAGTTTATGTAAGCAAAGAAGGGATTATTTTGATTTTTTAACACCTACTGCAGGGTTAAAGATGTCAAAAATGCAAACAGTCATGTTAGGGCCTTGTACTGTTTCCCTAGACAGAACTGCAAGTACGAAAAACAGGGGGAAAAAAGTTAGAAAAGACATCAACATTGCTTGTTACTACAGTTGAATTACAGTGTTTGCAGCTTGCTTGGACCTTGCTTAGCATACAGACTAGGCAGATTTAAGTGAAAAAAAGTTATGCCAATTAAGTGACAAGATTTCAGCACAGCTTTTGCTACAGAAGATATATATAAAAACAATTCATTTTTAACTAGGAAGGAACATAAGCAATAAGTTTTACAGTTCAGTAAAGAGGGTTCAGAAACTAAATGACTTTTTTGTGACCAGGATGTTTGGTAGACAGTGAACTGAAATCCGGGACCAGAAAAGTACTCTCAAACCACCCTTCGGACTTCAAAAAACCTCTTCAGATAGTAGATTTGTCCCAGTGTCATGGCAACTAATACAAGAGCTTCAAAGAATGACCAAAGAACGACTCTGCTGTTTGTGTTGTCATTAACTGTTAGGGAGGAAAAAAAGAAAAAAGTAAGTAAGTAACAAAGCATTTAAAACCAACTTAAAACACACTTTGTCATTGGAACTGAAGTACTGCACATAAACCACTGATATTTGTATCATGTCATTACAAGCGTCCCCAAAGGACTCTGCAGTCTTAGAGATGAAATCCGGGAGCTGAGGGGGGAGTATTTTTCTGAACAGCTTGCTATGCAAGCAGCTGTTTTAACCTTAACTTTGGACATAGACTGCAGCATCTTTCTCTATTCTGCCCACCTTCAAAGAGGTCAGGCAGAAGCTTATAACTGCCAAACAGAAGCCACTTGCTTTTTTAAGTAACGGTTGCATATTATGGTCTCAAAGTCAAGTGGGGAATTTCTAATCTCTAAAGGTTCATCATCTTTGGTTCTAAAAATTCAGCGTTTTCTTCAATCAGACCATTAGTAATAAAAGTCATAAAATTGGAGATATTCATAGGTTCAAATGAGGGGCCAGTGCTTTAATATAATGTTGTATTTTCACACTAAAAATATTTGCCCTTTATTCTCACTGGGCTTCCCCTAATGCACCACTTAGCACTCTGCGTGGTATTTTAAAGCTGTATTTCAGAAAGTGAGCGTTGTGACTGGAGAGTTAACCATATTCTCTACTTGGAAATAACAGTAGCTCTGCTCTATTTCAACAAAATATTTTAAAAAGACTTTGGCTCAATTATTAAGCCACAGCCATTTCAAGGTGAAGTAATAGTTCAACCAAAGTCTATCCCTGGGAACCATATCATTACTGATATCTTCATGAATATGCCGTTCAAAGAACTGTAGAATATACACCAATTAAGCAAGGATTATTTTGCATAACAATTTTCATTACATGAGAGGCGAGCCAATTTGAAGAAGATTGCAAGCATCAACTACGTTCTTTATTGTATGGGCAGGTCCTTCAGAACTTGTTCTAAATTTTTTTTTTTTTTTAATTAACTTGAAATGGCATTCATGGACTTGTATTTTAAATCACATTTTGTAAGTTCATTTGAGAGAGGAGAAGGCATTTAAGCCAAAGACACATACTTGCTCTATGTATTCTTTCACGAACTTCCATGTACTCCTGTTCATGCTTTACAGCTGTCATGGCCACTGCTAACTCATTAATCATCTCTTCTAGCTTGTTCTGATGAGCTGCGGAATAATTTCAGAAGCATCAGAAAGTCTGTTACTGACTCAAAAAACAATTTGTTAAAATTTATGAACAGTTATACTTAATTTCCCATCACAGAAGAAGTTCTGAAAAATGCAGTCTGTACAGCTGAAAACTTTCTATCCTTACAGCAAAGTAAAGTTTAGTTTTCATAGTGCCACTTTTCCTAACACGTCTCTATGGTATTTAATAAGTGGGAAAACATCTTTCTCCACATCCAACTAGAAGGCAGAAGACACACAATTTAGAGTCAGTACAGACCACTTATTTCCAATATGGGCATACTTTTCCAGAAAAATAGAATGTAAGAACACATGAGATCAATACCACACACTAGTATCTATTTTGCCAATACCATCCAATATATTCCAAGCAAATTATCTTAACATTACAGCTTTTCCTAGTTGTTAAGCTTGCAAAAATAGAACGACTGAGAATTTAGCTTAAGATCATGATGCTGGCAAAACGAGATCACTTTCTGAAGCAACATATCACATCTTGTGATCTTCCAGTTTAGCTGAAGCACAGCGTTCAGCAGAAACAATGCCAAAGGGGCCTGGCAGAGGGCAGGAACTGGCTTCAGGTTCTGGTATGTCGTGAAAGCAGAAGAGGACGAAAATACCAAACCAATGATAACAGAAAACTAGCTTGAGAGAGTTCAGCAAATGGAAGGATCAGAGATCCAAGATTTAGTGATCTGACTGTCAATCGCAGGATCTTTTAAATACATTCATGCTCAAAGAACTGTCCACTTACAAATTTATAAATTACGCAAGTAATTTTCAAAATTTTCTAGCACCAAGAGAAGTTCAAGGTATCGTTCCACAGACACGCCCTGGGCAATCAGCTCTCTTAAAAAAGTCACAAAACCCAACACATTTTTCCATTGAAGGGACATACTTGACTTTGAAGCTACCTTATTACGCTTTTATTTATAAATTAAGTGTTTCAGATCATAATCTGAAAATAAAGCTATTCAAAATACACACCTTACGGGGAACAATCAAAAAGAGGACCAGAGAATAACACTCATACAATTAAAATCTTAAACAGTTGTGTAAACCACACTCGCTTTGCTAATGTCGTAAATCCCTTCTTTTCATGGCCAAGTGGTCATTGTAATAAGTGCAGTTCATTAGTAAGGGAAGAAATTACAGTTGCAGGGATTGTTTAAACCCGCTCCAAAAAAATACACTCAAGAAAAAAAGTTTGCCTTAAAAACTTAAAGCTGCGCTAATATTCTTTACAACAGATATATTCAGACTCAATAAGATTTAACTGAGTCTTAAAAAGGAAAAAACCTCAGAAGTTAGGAATTTGTTACTTTTCAAGTGATATCAAGCACTCAATGCACACAGTTATTTACTTGCTAAAATAGAAAACAAGAATTTGTTGCATTTCTAGCTACAGTTAGTGATTTCTAAATAAAACTTTATAACTTGTTACCCACTACATTCATTTCTTTCTTTTACAGCAAATGGCAAGTTTGAAGTTTTTCCCCTTGTAACATTACTGAGAATTAATAACCTAAAAGCAGCTTATTGCTTCCAAAAGCCCTTGATTATTCAACAGCCACTTCAGCAACAAAAAGCAAACACTGTCTAAAATATCCAATGTTCTTGCATGTTCAGTGGTTTAGTTTAATTTCACCTAAAACTCCTGATTAAGTCTTCTGTTAGCCATAAACAACCGCCTGAAGACAAACTGTCACGGACAGCTCAAGGACCTGATCCCAAGAGCTGCTAAGTAGATAAACCTCTCGATGAAAGCTTGCAGGTGCTCAGCATTGCTCAGAATCAGACCTTTTATGTAGTTTATTAAAAAGACATTCTCATGCTACAAACAAATGTTACAGAGAAAAAGCAAACGTTAGCTGTTAGTGAATAAACATATGCAAAAGACAAGATGCTAATGAGCTTTCAAAAAGCAGTACACATACCATCCCAGGTATCTCCACCACCTAGAGAAAAGTGTAAGAGATGAACACAAGTACAGGACAAAAGGCTGCAGATAAAACAGTAATTTACACGGCTAAGAGAAAATTTTTATATTAGCACATTTATCAAAGAGCTCAACTAATCCATGTAGTAGTCTACATACTGCTGAGCAAACTAGAAATCAGAGATTGAAACTGATGAAAAGACTAAAGGATGACAGTATTAGTTTTTGCAGATGGCCAAGTGATTCTCTGGTGATTTTGCATTAAATCATGTAATGAGGTCTAAAAACATCCATATCCATTTTAGCTGTGCAAGAGAACAGCTAACTGGACAGCCTGAAGAAACAGGAACTCTGAGAATCCTAGTCAAGTTCAGAAGACATGCATATAGGGAAAAGTTCCCAAGCCAGAGCTAATTTCTTTCCAGGAGTCTTCCTCACCTTCTGTCTCCATGTCTTGCCCCTTTGGAGCTTCTCCGATATCGATAGTGAACATCACTATCTTGGGAGTCATGGTGGACATTCTGTTGCTAAAGCAAAACTTGTAAGTTCCATCCATGTGGGCAGCAAATGTGTATTTTCCACTGGACTCTCGATCGCCTTTATAAATTCCTTTATTATCAGGCCCGGTAATCTGGATGGAGAAAACAAAGTATCATACATATTAAATAAAAATGCGGTGGTTTTCAATACACCATTACAGCATTGCACATGCATTCTGAAGTTATCCAGTCAGAATTACTGATACCATCTGTAATCTGACTGGCTTGGCGTTCTTCATACTTTCCCTCCCACAACTCAAAAGCAGCGATGCATTTTTCTGTGCAGGAATCCTTAGAAAAAAAAAAGCTTCTTGGTAAAGAAAGTCATGCAAAAGCCTCTCTTACTGGCCATGATTACTGGCCATCTGTGGTCAAGACAAGACGCATTCAAGAACAAGTAAAACATAAGCTATCTACAGCCAAATTAACAACTGCAGGGGAAACCTTATCTCTGGTGTTTGAAGGAAAACAAAAAGGAAAAAAAGGCACTCTCCCATATGTCAGTATTACTTTAGACATACAGCTGTGCATTGCTGTAGTTACCGTTTCAAACGGACTAAGGGCCCGAGTACTGAGCGCTCAGGGTCACGGTGATCTTAAGGCTTCCATCCCGCCAGGCCACCAAACTCCGCTGCTGAGCTCCCATTAGTGACTTCTAAACGGGATTTCAGCTCCCTGACTCTGTCCTGCATCACGGCGATGCGCAGTTTTAAACAATTATATCCGCTCTCAGCAACGACTCTCTCATGTTTAAGTTATCCCAAATGAACAACTGTCTGCTCTTCGCTAAGATGAAAGGAATTTTTATTTATTTTTCTCCTACTGATCTGACATCTCATTGAAGAAAAGGACTTGCCTACAGCCTTCAAGATGGCAATCAACCTGATTAAAGCCCACAGCTTTTGATTCAAGGGGCGACACGCTGCTCCCAGAATAAGCAACACGGTTTGTGAAGAGTAATCCCCTTCCCTCTTCCCGCCAAACGGTTTATTACAAGACCGTATCGAGCAGAACGAGGAGGAAGATCTCAAGAGAACAGCTCCGAAAACAGGAAGATCGCCTTCTGCAGCAACAGCACAAGCGACGGGCAGCCTTCGGAAGCGCAGCCCCCCGCAGAGGCACCGCGTCCTCTCCGCCACGGCCCACG